CCTTTAAGAAGATGGAACAGCAGAGACGCACCTCTGCTCAGAAGCACGGCGCATTCACAGCCTGCATGATGTAATTTCTAGGCTGAAGCAGTGCTAGCTGGGGCCTGCTGGTCTTTTCCTGCCCTGTGGCTGGTGGCGGGGGGGCATGGTCATTTCCAAAAGATGCCGAAGCTGGCGGGAGGGGCCGGGTCACTGACCGGCAATGACTGGATAAGATTTGGCAGTGCAGACGGTGAGAGCCGTGTGCATCTCCGTGTGCCTCGGTGAGGAAAGCCGACTGCAGTCCTGAGGCCTGGATCCTCCTTCACTTGGGCAGTACTGCGGGACACCGTATTTGACCTACATTCTAAAGGGAAGCAGAGTGAGTCCTGTATTAGTACGGGGGTGAACCACCACGTGCCCCGGCAGGGAGGCCAGCGGGAGGGTTCAGATCTAATACTTTTCCCCAGGGCCTTTGTCCCTGTGCAGCTGCCGCCATGCAAGGACCTTCCTCACGTTGAGCTGCGTACCCTCCTCGCCTTGAGCTGCGTACCCTCTCGCGTTGAGCTGCGTACCCCTCTGCTGTTCGTTACTATTGTGAGATGCCAAGGCTGGGCGGCTCCGTGAGTTTCTGTAACTCTCCCTTGTGGAAGTTCGAAGCCGAGGGCCCACTGTGAGGGGAAAACTTGCTGGAAAAGTCCCAAGGTGGTGCAGGGCATCACACGGAAAATAGCAAGCGACGGGGCCTGTGTGCGTGTGTGTGCGTGTAGACGCATGCGTGTGTGCACGTGTGTTCCAGTCCCTCTCCCTCTTCTCAGAGCCACCAGGACTCCGTCTGGAGCTCCGCCTTGTGACCTCACCGCCTCACAGGCTGCTGTCCAGCACCATGGATTAACTTCCATCCTCTCCCGCCGCCACAGCTTAGGCTGTATCCCAGCCGCCCGCTCAAACCGAAGAGCGGTCACGGTGCTTAGAGGTCCCAGAGGCACCCCCCTCCGCCCCCCTGCCCTCCGCCTCCACACTCTCCTCCTTCTCTAGTCGCGCTCTTGTGATTTCGTGTGGTCTTGTCCCTAAACACAAGGCACTTAGTTCATTTGGTGTTCCGCTGTGGAAGTAATGATTTCACTGCCGGGGTGGGGGGTTACATTGGGCTTGAATTTCTTGCTGTTGTGCCATCTGGATAATGTAAGAGATTGTCAAGGTAATTGAAAGTATGCCTAATTATCCCGTTTACCAGTTTTGTAGCCCAAGCCCAATATGTGATCCACCAATTACGGAGTGACGGCATAGTGGGACGAGACAGGACAGGCTCGGCACAGCAGAGATGTGGAACGGATACACAGAGCGGGCAGGAAGAGCTGGCATTGCACCGGCTCCTTACGGGCATGAGCTGCCACAGGTGGCATGCTGGCTTCACTGTCCAGCAGGTGGGAGGCAGGAGGAGCTTTTTTTTTTTTTTTTTTTTTGTCTTTTTGAGACAGGGTCTCACTATG